AATAGAAGGGGATGAACCCTGAATGAGTGGCAGACCAAACAGGACTGAGCTGCTGGTGGACTTCTACTGAATTGATTACAAGGATCCTGGCAGCACTGGAAAGACTGCCATACTTGTGACAAGGAGTCATGGCCCAAAAGAAGAAATTGGATAACATTTAGGATGTGGTAAGGGTGAAATGTAAGGTGAAGTGGAGCCCCAAGAAAAAAGTCCTCCAACCTAGAAATTACTCCAATAGGCCCAAACCTAATCAGCCAGGATAACCAACTCCCAACTTTAAAGAAGATCAAAGATGTGGCAGGCAATAAAGATAACACTGAGGAGTGGCTGTGGTAGCATTGACCCACATCCTGATGTAGTCCTCTGGTAAGATGTCAGGTCAGAGAAGGCCTAGGCCATACAGCACCTACCCCCGACAATTTGGTGCTTTGGCTGGGAACTAGACCAAGTCCCAGCCTGGGAAGAAGTCAAGGACCTGCAACTAGGGGCAGTAGCAGGGGTGGATGCCTTTTGACAGACCCTGAATCTAATGGGACAAATTTTACAGCAGCAACAACAGACTGCTTGACAGATTGTGCTGGATGAGAACGTAGTACAACAGCAAGACTGGGTCCAATGGAATATGACAAGGTTTAAGGTTCCAAAAATGACCTGGGAAGATAGGTGGTAGTCTTGGCAAGGTTGGATAAAGCAAAAATGGGTTAGTAAGCTGGGAGTTCTCCTTGTTGGTTAGGCTCAGGAGGCCTACTGGTTGATGTTGAGAATAGATGCCCAAGACTACAAGGTTAAAAATAAAATCCTGTAACAGTTGGATATCACCCCTGAATGGTACCACCAACTGTTTAGGATGAAGAAGAGAAGGGAGGACAATCCCCAAGAGAAGACTGCAAAGCCTGGAGGACGTCTTGGATAAATCGTTGAAACCTGCAATTACGTCCAAGGATGAAATACATGATAGCATCCTCATGGAGCAATTCCTTTCTGACCTAAAGGAAAATATTCAAAAGTGGGTTCAATGTCATTGCCCAAAGACCTTGGCTGAGGTCCTGTGCCTTGCTGAGGACTTCGATAGTGCCCAGGGAGACCCACCAAGGGAGAAGATTGTTAAAGCGGGGCGACCTGCCACTTCCAGGATGCCCAACAAGAGGGTGGAACAGGAGAATAAAGAACCAAGGAGATCTTCACCACAAGGAATAGTATGCTTCCACTGCAGGAGAATGGGGCTGATAGCCAGGGACTGTTTTGCTGGCCCCCAACCATATCCACCCTCTACTAAATCTTGGGCAGAACCAAAGGGGAGCAGACCCACCCCACAGGAGGGCCCTCAGATTGAAATGATGGACTGCATCTTGGGGAAGGCCACAATTGATGCTACCCAGAAAAAACCCACAGTCATGATCAGTGTAGCTGGGAGACTGGTACAAGCTATTTTGGACATGGGGTGTGCACAACCCTAGTAAGGGTGGACCTGGTACCCCACAAAGGGGCTACAGGCTACAGTGCTATAAAGATGATTTACATGCATGGGCAAGCCTCGATTTACTCCAGGCAAAGCATCCAGGTGACAGCACACAGTCTCACCTGAGAAATGCCAGTAGGGATGGTGCTGGACCTGACATACCCAGTGGTGTTGGGTAGAGATTTGCACAAGATTTATGACATTCTGGATATAATCAGGTCCAAAGGCAGGACTCGAATGGGTCTGACTGGAGAAGATGAGACATAACAGGCCAATGACTATGAAGAATATACCTTTGATAACAGAGGGTCTCACAAGTAGTACCCAATACCAGGAGGCTCAAAGGGAGGAACTGGCCTTCCAATCTATATTTGAAACTGAGCTAGCAGGAGAGAGAGCAGGAGGTAATTCACCTTGATTTGTGTGACAGCTTACCCCGGTTTAGGTCAGGAAGGGACTTTTATATAGAATTAAACAGGGCATGCGAGAAGGGGATAGTGCAGATGATGGTGTCTCAGTCTTTTGAGCCTGGCCCATGCAAACCCCCTGGGAGGACATCCAGTGAAGGAAAAGACAGAGGGTCTTTCTCTGCTGGTTTTTATGGCCTTATCTTTATGAGGAAGTCAAACTGTTTTGCGTAGCCTGCCCCAAGTGTCAAAGGGTGAGCCAGAAGAAACACCCAAAGTGCCTTTGTGAGGGATGCTGGTCATCACCAAGCCATTTTCGCACATCACATTAGATGTTGTGGGCCCTCTGCCCAAAAGTACAAGTGGACACCAGTTCTTGCTTGTCATTACTGACTATGCCACGTGGCATCCTGAGACTGTCCCTCTAGTGACCATCACTGGCCCGAGAGTAGTGGAAGAGTTGATTAACTGGATTTCCAGAATAGGGATTCCCTGGAAAACAGTGACAGACCAGGGGTCTAACGTTATGTCCCATGTCCCCAAATTACATGCTGAGCTCTTAAGATCAAGCATCTGAGGATCTTGATTTACCATCCTCAGACTAATTGGCTAGCTGAACATGTCAATGGGACTCAAGAAATTGAGTTGGAGAACAGAACAGTGGAAGACTGGAGGAGAGAGCCAGTGGGTAGGGTCATGGACTTGGAATCAGGACCTGGGGTTCTGCCACTAACCCACTCTTTCTGCTTGTGCAGGTAATTCCCACCTATCACCACCCCACACATCTGCTTTCTCTTGGTCTATAAGCTGTCTGATAGAGGGGTTGCCTCTCAATACAGGTATATACATCACACAGCTACTTCAGTCAGGATGATGATAAAATCTAGTCAAAGGCTGTTGCTGGAGATGGAGTGCAGCAATGAAAAGCATCCCTGTTGAGTCGGAACTCTCTACAGTGCTACTGATATAGGGGTGCTATTCTCTTCTCTCCAAACACTCTACCCACTCAGTGAATCAATTCAGCACAGAGCAGTACCTTGCCTGTGGCTCCAGACCATTCTGAGTGAATGCCTGCCATTCCAGAAGGACTCGTTCAGCAGGGAAGGAACTAGATTTTCAGATATCCATTTCCCAAAGGACATTCCATTCCCACTGTGATCCCATCTGACATCCGTTATGGCATTTTGGGGTCTGGCAATGGAAATCCCTGCATTTTCAACATCTTTTGGGTGTTTGGCAGAATCCCACCATGTTGACTAATCTATCATCTCTCTGCCCCACTGGTCTGGCTGAAATAAACTCTACTATCTGTGTTCCTCAGAGCTGAGGCAATCCAGCTAATTAGCAGGGTGCCCTGTTTGTGTAATACAGAAGACACTAACCACATGTGATAAGTGATAAGCCCAGCTGCTCTTGTAGGCTGCAGGTCTCTGCTTTGTCTCACCGGAAGAACAAGTTAGGCAAGTTAGCAATTGTTCCCCACCCCTTGGTAGCAACAGCCTCCTCTAACACTCTCAGCCATGGTGGTTCAAAGTGAAACCTGCCTCTGGCCATCTCCTGCTGAGTAATTTCCCACACCAGCCCCTGGGTAGGCAAGCTCCTGCTTCTGCTGGAATAAGGGTGGAAGTGAGGTCACACTCTCCTGGCTGTGCCTCAGCAGCAGTGGATGCTAAGCCAGCTAGGGCTGAGGGCAATGGGGTTAGGATTACTAGGCCGATATTGTGTTTAGTCTTCCTTTGTTGTTTCTGGCTCATCAGCTGTCGGGGGCAAATTCTAGGGCCTCTGCTCATGGGGCTAAGTGACCTCAGCCCCACTGGCAGGAACAGCATGTAGCACTTACCTTGCAGAAGTCTGGAAATAGAGAAGTTCACTCCAGCTTGCTTTGAACTCTGGCAGCTGCATAGGCTTTGGGCACTCCTGCCATGGCTTGTATGGACAACGTGCCCCACCTTTGTCATATATACATGGAACCACATGCTGAGACATGTTCTGTTGCTCTGATCTCTCTACTCTTGGGGATTCCCTCTCCTTTGAACTAGGGTGGGATAATGACATTTCATTTCATTATGGGTCTTAACTTAATGGCAAATGTGAGACTGCATTTCCACACGTCTCCCAGAAGAGGATGCTCCGTCCTCCAGAGACACAACCAGGAAGGAGGAAGGAAACTGGTAAACAGCAATTATAAATATCATGTTGTAGATGATGGGTATCTTACTAGTTAAGTCTGAAGCCACGCCTCTCCCAGAATACAGGGACCTTTCTGTCTGAGGCTTTGTTTCAGCCTTGTATGGAAACTGAGGAGCTGTTGGCATCTTGATCCTTGTTTCCAGGATCCAGGGTTTGGTCTGGACACATTACTAACATACAGAGAAAGGGCCCTACATACATCATACTGCAGCATAGGGTCACCATATTTCCAGTATCAAAAAAGAGGACACCTATGGGGAGCAGGGGGAGGAGGGGCAGAAGAGGGGGAAGGAGTATATGATTGTGAGGGTGGGGGGCAGGGATATGCCCATGCCCTGCCTCTGCCCCTCACTGTTAAGCCACAGCTCTCCCAACCCTGCTGCAGCCTCTCACTCCTGACCCACTGTACCCTGCCTCCCAGCTTTGCCAGTGCCCATCACTTCTGACCGCATCCCCCTGCCTCCCCACCAGCCCTGCTGGTGCCCCTCACTACTGACCCACAGTCCCCCTCCCCACCCAGCCCTGCTGCCCACACAGTTCGCATGTGGCTGCACGCACACACTCTCTCTGTCTCTCTGGCTCTCTTACCTGCAAGCAACTGCCAGGCCTGCGCGCAGAGCATGTGATCCCCAGACAGCCAGTCATTTTGCCCTGCTGCCCCCAGACCCAAGCAGCCAAGTTGAAGTGCCTGGAAAAAGCCAGAAGCAGAGCAAAAACCCGGACATTTGCTTACATTTTAAAAACCTGCCCAGACAGGAGGACAGGGGGCTAAAAAGAGGACATGTCCAGGATCTTACTGCAGCACAGTGAAACAGACAGAACCAGGGAACAAAAAGGGGGGAAATTCTTCTCTCTCTAACCTCTAAAAGTGGATCACTGGATCCCTCAGCCTTTTCAAGTTCAAACATGTGAAACCAGCCACAAAAAAGAGATAGAAGCCAGAGCAGTGACATCAGTTCCTTTAAAACCAACACAAAACATTTACCACCACCTCAACTTCAAGATTCATCCTTTTGGAGGTTAACAACTATACAGTAATAACCAGTAAGACAGCACCATGGGCTGGGGCGGGTTATGATCTTGAAGGGCTTCCCTTCCGCCAATGTGGAGCTGAGAAGTGTAGTGCCAAGCACAGGCATGGGGCTGTGGTGGTGTCTAGGGATGCATGGACTTACATAGAGCTGCAAAGCTCCACTGCAGTGCAGGCACCCATTTTGGTGGTAATTAGTGCTTGATGGAGGGTGCTAGTGGGGAACAAGCTCTGGAAGAGCAACTTTCACAGCAACTGGCCTCCTGTCCCAAGAGAGGTTTTCTTGAGGGGTTTGGATGTGCATGTATGTTAGTCATTGAGTATGGATGTCACAACAAAGACCACATTTGTCCCTCTCAGTAAAAAGCTACTGTCTAGAGGAAGAGCATGAAGACACAGGATTCTCCTCTCTCTTCCACACAGCCATCCCCAGGGCACAGCCAACACTTGATCACAGGCCCCAGTGAGTTCAGAACACAGAGCACTGCAGCAGAGGCAGCCCAGGGCAATTCTGCCTGAATTCAGCTTAGCTCACCTTGTGCAAATGGTTAGCTGTGAGGGTCCTTGGACCTAGCCTGACGACCATCCTCCTCACAAAGCACGGCATTGCTAAATGTTTGCCAACACTCTCCTCCCCCAACATTGTCTGTAAACAGGCACATCACAGCTAGACACCTAGCTAGCACTGCACCTCAGTCACTATCCTCAGCACAGGTCATGGGCTTGAATCTTTCCTCTGCTGAGCACATCAAACAATGCTGTGCCTCACACCAGGCTCATACGGGGTTTCAAGATTTGCAGGCTCCGCCAACACCATTTTCTGGCAACAGACACATTGCAGAAAGTCTGAGACATTACGCCTGAAGAGCTGGCGGCATGGGTGCAGGTACTGGAAGAAGAAGAGCATGAAGCAGATAGCTAGACAGTAGCCCACCAACAGCTGCAACACCAGTAGTGGGGCACAGATGTACTCATACACATCTGTCTTGAAGAGGTACCAGAGGACAAGCAGGATGGCATTCTCCACCAGCCGCACACTGTAGTACAGGGCCAGGCGGCCCCAGTTCTGTGACTTGTCTATAAGGTCCCTGTCAGCCAGCTTCAACTGTACAGCTGACCAGCAGAATATGTTGATGCCAGCATAGAGCAGAGTAACGGAACACAGCACCACCACAGTGCCCACCCGGCTGAAGTTCTTCTCGATGTTGTCGGGCAACTGCGTGCCGCTCCGCCAGAACTGTACCCATGGCAGGAAGAAGACAACCAGCAGGTTGGCTAAGGCTATGGGGATAATCCAGTGCTTGAAGACAGTGCAGAAGAGCACGAGGACAGCCACACGGGTAGAGATCTCCAGGCTGCGCCACAAGACAATGCAGAGGAACGCCAGGGGCCGCAGGTGGACCTTGTAGTCATCATACTTGATCTGGATGGCCAAAACGTTGCAGACCAGTGCCCCATAGGTGACTGACACCAGACAGATGCCCATCAGGACGGCTGCAAGGGAGGGATGGGAAGGTGGTGACTATGGGCAGTCAGACAGGGTTACATATAGTAATGCACCACACACTGCTGCACTGGCTTGCACCCTCCCTTCTCCACATTATCGAAACAGATCTACACGTAAGGCACATAGGTCTCAGGGGGTCAGCAGGTACTGGGGAGGGAAAGGTCATGGCAAGTGCAAGTGGGCCCTGGGGAGGGATGGCTCATGGGTGGAAACCAGGGGCTGAAGAAGTCACTGGGGAAATGCTACAACACAGCTTGTAGCAAGCAGAAGCAGGGCCCCTGAGAGGACAGAAAGAACATGATTAAGAGATGATCCCAATTGGGAAAGGAATGTCCCTTGTGAGAACAAGCCATGGCAGATGCAGTACATCCAGCATGTCCTGAATCTGTTCCAGCAAGCCTGCTGTATGATCTTGTATGTATAAGGCTGAAAACAGATGTCACCTTTGTGCCGCCATGAACATTTTTCTAACAGCACGAAGCCCAAGCAAACAGATGTCCACACCCCTTGTTGCATCACAAATGACCAAAATTGTGGCCACAACAGGTAATATAAATTTGTGCTGTTTTTTGTGGTGGACATCCGTTTGCTCTCTGGTGGGGGACGATGGGCAGCCCACAGCTGCCCATACTCTCCAGCTGCCCTGGGGCTTCAGGGGCCTGATCCTGTGTACTCACAGAATTTCCCTGCAGGGGTGTATGCAGGATTGGGCCCCTGTAGTCCCAGGAGTACATGCCCAAGTTCCTCACTTGAACTCCCTGAAAATCCCTCGCTTGCTGCCACACCCTGACTCAGGGTTCCCTCATTTGCAGAAGCATACCCTGAGTTGGTTCCCCTGTTTGCAGCTGTCCCACAGGGTCAGGCCCTTGAAGCACCAGGGTCTTCATCCTGTGGGACAATGGGTGAATGTGTGTCACCCAATGAAGTGGATCAGCTGTGCCAGGACACATCCTAACACATCTGATCCTGTTCTAAGGACATCTGTTTATAGCTTAAGTGCAGGCACTGACCTCTTTTCCTGTCCAGTGTAAGTGGGAACACTTGCAATCCTTACCATGGGCTAAGCGGGTAGGCCCTCAGCAGGTTAATGTCCCATCCACTCCTCACCCCATCTGAGCTAATAACTCCCATCTCCCTCCAGCAGATAAGTCAAATTGAGCCCTATGCAATCAGACCCAAAGCCACAACAAAACCTTTATGCAAGGCCTGATACTGGCCTCTTAACTAAGGGTAAATGCCTGTGCTGGGCCAGGGATGACCAGATGTAACAACCTATGGGCCCAGTGCTGTGAGACACCTGTACTGAGCCATCACCAGAATCTGGATAGCCAATGGCTCAGCTGAGAAGAGGGCTGGTTGCAGGGCAGTCAGAAAGCCTAGCTGGCTTTCCCTCTTCCCTGTACAATAATGAAATTAGGCTTTTAACTGCTTCTGAGTTAAAGTAATGTTTACTGCATTCACACTGTTTTCGGTCAAACCTAACATGTTCAGACTTGCCAAAGGGCAGTTGCTAATCTGCTGGGTGAGTTGTGTTGGAGGAAGTCTTATGTCCACCTTTTTCTGGTACCATCCTATGACAGTAGGATGCTGAGGGAGTAAGCTGATGTGATTGCAGAGCCATTGGCCATCATCTTCAAAACTCATGGCAATCAGGAGAGAACCTGGATGATTGGAAAAGAGCAAACATAGTGCCCATATTTAAGAAAGGGAAGGAGGAGGATCCAGGGAACTACAGACCAGTCAGCCTCACCTCAGTCCTGGGAAAAATCATGGAGCAGATCCTCAAGGAATCCATTTCTAAGCACTTGGAGGAGAAAAAGGTGATTAGGAACAGTCAACATGGAGTCACCGAGGCAGGTCATGCCTGACCAACCTGATTGCCTTCTATGACTAGGTGACTGGCTCTGTGAATGTGGGATGACCAGTGGATGTGGTATACCTTGATTTTAGGAAGGCTTTTGATATGGTCTCTCACAGCATTCTTGCAGGCAAGCTAAGGAATTATGGGCTGGATTAATAGACTGTAAGGTGGATAGAAAACTGGCTGGAGCATTAGGCTCAGTGAGTAGTAATCAATGGCTCAATGTGTAGCTGGCAGCTAACATCAAGTGGAGTGATCCAGGGGTTGGTCCTGGGGCTGGTTTTGTTCAACGTCTTCATTTACGACCTGGAAGATGGCACAGAGTGCACCCTCAGCAAGTTTACAGATGACACTAAGCTGGAGGAGTAGTAGATACGCTGGAGGGTAGGACTAGGATTCAGAGTGATCTAGACAAATTGGAGGATTGGGCCAAAAGCAATCTCATGAGGTTCAACAAGGACAAGTCCAAATCCTTACACTTAAAACAGAACAATCCCATACACCAGTACAGGCTGGGGGATGACTGGCTGGGCAGCAGCTCCGCAGAAAAGGACCTGGGGGTTACAGTGGACAATAAGCTGAATATGAGCCAGCCGTGTGTCCTTGTTGCCAAGAAGGCAAATGGCATACTGGGCTGCATTGGTAGGTGTGTTGCCAGTAGGTCAAGGGAAGTGATATTCCCCTCTGTTCAGCACTGGCGAGTCCACATCTGCAGTACTGTGTTAAGTTTTGGGCCCCCCACTACAGAAAGGATGTGGACAAATTAGAGTCTAGCAGAAGGCAACAAAATGGTGAGGGGGCTGGCAGACATGACTTATGAGGAAAAACTGAGGGAACTGGACTTATGTCTAGAGAAGAGGAGACTGAGGCTTGTGTGATTTACACAGAAATGGGACTCTCCACTTTCTTAGCCAGTCAGCTCATGCAATGAAGTAATCATAATGCCAGCTTCACATCACCTAGTAAAGCAAAAGGTTACAGTTTCTGTACACAGGGAGTTTTAAAGGCTTAGAACTGCCTTTAGTGTTTAAGGGCCTGACCTTGCTCCCTCTCTATTAGACCCAACAATACTATTTTGGGTATCTAGAGCTCTTTGCATCAGTTCAGTTCATGGTGCTTCACAAACATTAATTAGCCCAGCCTCGCCACACCTGTAGGAGGCATCTCCATAATATTATTTCCATGTTACAGCTGGGGAAATGGAATCACAGATTAATGAGCTTGCTCTAGGTCAGCAGAAAACCTGTGACAAAACCCAAAGCAAACCTGGATGTCCTCCAGCCATCTTGCTTTTGCGACGACATCAAATGGATTTTACCTATCCTGAGCCAGAGCCTGCAAAAACACCTGTCTTACTTGATTTGCAGGAGCCATCCATTCACAATATATAGACCATATCCTTGACCTGCATAAGTTGACAACTCAGTTGAAATCACTATGTTTTATGCCAGCAAGGGTCAAACTCAGTGGGACTGCTTGGACACAGGCAGAAATGTTTACAAGAATCATTCTTTCCTCAACTGTTTTTATTGTCATATCAGATGCTACTTCTCAGATCAGTATCATATGATCCAGCTTCAGAAAAAAATCCCTAGTCAGGAAATCTCTTAAACCCTTACTTAAATGCACTTTTAATTGGAGCCCTTGTTGGGGAGAATGAGGGTGGCATGGAACAAGTAATGAGACCTTGGGTACGTGAAATTACAGAGGCAGCTGGCTTGGAGCACACAACTTCACCCAAGGGGAGATTCTGCACTGTGGTAGTAGGAAAAATTACACAGAAATTGCAATCTGAGAGGGAATAGTTTTTCAGTGTTTCTCAACCAGTTATGTTCCCTGTTAGTCCTAGACTGTTGCAGGACAGAGAGAGACTCCTGGGGTCTAAGTCCCCACAGCCTCTCTGGCCTGCCCAGGTTCTTCACACTGATGTGACCTCTGGCATCACCCCCAGCACAGCCTCCTCATCCCTACTCTATTCTTGACAAATCTCCTAAATCAGAGCTAATAAAGAGCTCAAAAGAAACTCAGAGCTGACGGCTATAATGCCCACACCAGGAGGAACTGTCTATGCTGGAATGATGGCCTTATGCTTCTGAAGCCTTTTTTGCATGATAGAAAGGATCTACAACATAAGAGTAAAAAACTCACCTTCTGACCACACTGGGTAAGACCCTGAGACAGCAGCACCCACAGAAATGTATGAACTACTCCCACAGTGATGGTCTCCTAATACACCCCTAACTGTAAATTAAAAGCCACAACTGAATGGATCAGCTTAAATGTTCTTGACATCATTTATACTAGTGGCTTATGCTGGGGTTCATTTTGGTCCTTAGTCTCTTTCCTTTCCTGGGTCCCCTACTTCAACAAATATTTGGGATCCCAGTATCACTGGCAAAGTTTCAACAAAACTGGAATCTTAATCACAAGTTAAAACAAAGAAATGTCATGAACTTTTCTCTTCATGAGGCTTGTTAAAATATTGTTTTAAAGTCAAACTGAACTGCTGTTTCTGTAGCTTGTAGACACACTGACCCTGTAAAGTTAGGAGCTGGCTGTATGCCCTGCTGTGACATGGTAAACATTTAAACACAGAAATGACTTCAGGCATGTGAGTAGTGCTCTGGAGATCTGCAGGGTTACTCAGCCAACCAAGTGA